CGGACCAGCCAGGTCATGGCAGCTGCTGAGCGCCGAAAGCACGAAGGACTCGGTGGTCAGAGACCAGCTGCTCCCAATGCTTTGCCTTCAATTGGACAGCATCACCCAATGATGCCTGGTTTGCCAACCGGAGGATACGTTCCTCAGTCCCTTGCAAACGGTCCTCAGTCTCTCACAAGCACTCCCCAGCCTCTCACCAATGGTTCACAGCCCCCCATGCCAAATGGAGGTGGTATGCTTAAACGAGGGCGAGAAGAAGAAGAAGATCTGCACCGACCAGTCTCTAATGGACATGATCCTATGAGTAACATGCATGCAATGTCTAATGGATACCCACAGCAGCCTCCCCTTGCGAATGTGCATCAGCCTCATATGCAGAATGGAGGAGATATGCTCAAGCGAGGCAGAGATGAAGACGATGAGGCTCACAGGTCAGCGCATAATGCACACGACACCATGAACAATATGCCTGGTAGCATGCCTGGTCTGCCGAATGCATATGCTCAGCCTCTACCGAATGTTCATCATCAGCCTCTTGCTAATGGGGATGGAGGTATGCTTAAGCGAGGTCGAGATGAGGACGATGATATTCACCGATCAAGCCCCAATGGACATGATTCTGCAGGCAACTTCGAAGTAAAGCGGCGCAAAACCGTGACATCGAATGACAGCATGGTTTCTCCCGGCGGATTTTACACCCTGCACAACGGGTATGGTCAGCCCGGTGTCATGAATGGCATGAGCCCATACAAACGACGAGATGACGAGGCGGAAACGCCACGACCAGGCCCAAATGTACATGATCACTTGAACAACTTCGACCTGAAGCGACACAAGACCATGGAGACGAGTGTCCCTGCTCCCCAGTATGACGCCATGAACCGTCCTCATTCCAGCATCGGCACCTCTCCCACCTATGCCCCTGCTCCTGCTTATGACAACCTGGCTCGACCTGCATCCACTGTTGCTGCATCTCCTTCGTATCCTTCTGCCCCGGTGTACGATGCCGGTGCTCGACCTCCCTCTGCCATCAACGCTCCTCGAAGACAACAATCTTTCGGTTAGTTTTCACGGCCGACAAATGACACCCGGTATTTGGTTGTCAACATTTTGCAAGGAACAGTGGCATCTTCCATGTGCACTCATTTGACAGTGCAAGCGAAAATTATGAGACGTCTCATCTCCGACATTTCAGGGATATGATGACACATTCTTTCACTTTCCTTTTTCTTTAAAAGAAATTTCCTTTTTCCCCCTTCTTTGTTGGGCACTGGAGTGTCCCTCATCGGAAAGCCCTTGATTCCAAAGACGATGGCGACGAGTTCACGACACGACTTCCGATGTTTTGTTAACCTAGCATGCTCTGTCACGGATATACATGAGTAATGAGTCTCTGTCTGCATAGAGGCTTAATTTCTGGAAAGAGTCACCGCAGCAAGGTTTTTCCTTTCGATGATTAACTCCTAAATGCGATATGATCGCATGGTATGGGACAGTACTGCCTGTGATGAGCCCAGGCGGGAATGATGAGTTTGGAGTGGACCCTTGTTTACTGAGATGTCTTGGCAGGCCAAAATGTTGGAAAGTCAAGACGTCGAAGGGAAACCCTGGGAAAGGCTCTGAATTACGAATTACGATCTTACATTTCTCATTTATTCACTTCTTTTTCTTTTGTGCTCGCGTTTTACTGTGGTCCAGAAAACGTGGGCACAGAGAATGTGTGTTTTTTTTGGAAGTGTTGCTTTATTAGGTAACGAATTATGAGGGAACAATAAAAGCTGTTTTTTTTTTCTTCTCGAGAATAGATACAATTAGAGAGTTGGATCATATGCGCCGAGATTCATGTGTAGCTGTGTCATGGCGATGAGTGATATGAAGTGAGTGTGAGGACAAGTGTAGGTATGAAACACGTATACAGGCAGCTGAGACCTAGGGTACGTTCCAATCCAGTCTGGTAATAGCTTTATTAGATAAGGTAGATTATCATTGCATAACGTAACCAAGCAACGGCAAGTGAAATGGATGCCATGCCGTCGTGCCTTTAACTACCTTAGGTACCTTGCCTTGGTACTTACCTGGGGAACCATTTGTTGTCGAATGATGATTATAATTATCACGTGAGAGATCCACTGCTAGGTGTTGTCGGGTCAACTGCCTACCTAAAGTAAACATGCTTGATGTTAGCGTGTGACCGTTGAACTTGACTTTCTCAACAAGCAACACTACTCAAAAGGTGGCTTGAACCAGACCACCAAGTCAACGATATCCTCTGCTGACTAGAACTGCGACTACACATTAATTGTTTGATTATCTCATTTCCTTGATTTCAGCGTGCATCACAATGGAAACACCACTGTCGCCGGCGCAAGATTCGAATCTCAATATCCAGACACCAGCAACCGCTAAGCGGCACAACTCCTACGAGGTACGAACAGTCTCCACGTCCTCAGAATCACAGAGCCAACCCTCTCAGGGATCATCCCCTTTCGTGTCTGCCCTCAACGATACTGCCCTTTCCGATCAGGAGAACCATTCTCCCTCAAAATCACGACACTCCCGGGTCCTCTCTGGCGCGACCCTGTCACCATTGAAGATCCTCGCCGACCAGCGAGAGGTGAGAGACGGAAGACCAACAGATAGACTGGGCCCCAACGCTCGCAGCCCTAGAAAGGTGTCTCCTGAGAAGCGTTTTCCTGTTAAGATCAGCAATCCTCTCGACACAACCCGCGCGGCCTCCCAAGAGAGCACAATGAGTCTGGAGGATGCGGTGCGACAAAATGAAGGCCTCAAGCGCGCAATTGAGATTTTTGAAGATGAGCAGAGCGTCCTGGAGGACGGTCTAGACGATATGGACGTCACTACTAGCGCCATCAACGTTGACCCCCCTGCAGAAATGGAGGTAGACGATTCCGTGTGCCCTGATGATACAGCGATCAGTACGTTCAGTACCTTCTCAGCTGTTCCCAACCTGACCATGTTTGCCAAACTCGGTCAAACTCCCACCAAGCTGTCCGAAATGGGTGGTCTCACGCCTCGGGCAAACACACGAGCTGATCCCTCGCCATCACGAACGTCGCGAGCCAGACCAAGACACGACTCAGGGAACACAACGAATCTTCTGGACTTTACAGAGCAGCTGCGTTTCCCCCAGAAATCACCTCAGAAGTCACCGTCCAGGGGCGGGCTTTCTCCATCTCGCACAGCACCTAATGTGACTGCGACGCCTTCTCGTAGCGGATTTGCCAACCTCATCGACTTTGATATCCCCCCTATGCCTACACCTCGAAGCGTTCCCAGCATCACCGCGAGAGAACTTGAGTCTCTTAAGTCAAACTTTCTATCAGAAATCAGCTCACTCAAAGCTTCATTGAGTGGTAAGGAGGCCGAAGTGCAATCGCTAAAGGCCGCAGTTGGTGATGCAGAGAAGCGAGTGGGTGAGTCCCAGGAGCAGCTTCGTGAAGAACGCTCTATCAAGGAGCAACTTACTGCTGAGAAAGAGGGTTGGGAGAACCGAGGTCGTGAGATGGAAAATGTCTTACGGACGGTCAAGGAAGAAATTGTGGAGAGCCAAAGAGAACAGGAAGAGCTCGAACAGAAGTTGGAAGAGAGTGAGAAGCGACGTGAGGCAGCCGAGATGTTGCATCAAGAGGCGGAGAGCAAAATGGCGGGTATGCGTGCCGGGAAAGACACCGACAAGTCGTCGCCCGAAAAGCCCAAGAGCCCAAACGACACCAATCACGAAGTTGAGATTGCAGTCGAGCGAGTGGCTCGTGAGCTTCATGCTCTTTATAAGAGCAAGCACGAATCCAAGGTCACTGCTCTCAAGAAGTCATACGAGACTCGGTGGGAGAAGCGTGTCCATGAGCTTGAAAGCAAGATTGGGGAACTTGCCGAGGAGAACGAACGTCTCCGCGTCGGCCGAGATACAACAATGACCAAAGTTGAGCCCGACAGCATTGAGGCTGATGAGCGCAAGGCCCAAGCAATCCGGGACAGCGCAACAATCAAGGAGTTGAACGCCGATATCCAACGACTTGAGGCAGTTGTCCATACAGTACAGCTCGACAATGAGTCACTGCGCAGTATGCTAGAGAAGGAGCGCGTAGAGAAGGGAGAGCTTGTGCAACTCGCAGAGGAGATGATGAGCATGCAGAGCTTTGTTGCGCAGACACCAAAGCCTCAGCCACAGCAACAACCTCAACAACCTCCTTCTGCGTCTCGTTACCCTCATGAGAGACAACATGACCGAGAGCCTGAGACTAAGACACCTAAGCGAAGCGCAGATCACTTTAGAAGCAGTGTTAGTCGTGCTTCTGGACTTCGCGCGCCAGGTTCGGGCCTCCGAGCACCTCACGAACGAACAAAGAGCGGAGGTGGCTTGCCTCGTCCAGGCGGTATGGCCCGTAGCGGCATTATGAGCTCGATCGAAAAGATGGGCAACTACCGAGGACGTGGAGCAGAGTGATATTGGACGGGGATAAACGCAATGAGCCTCAAAAGGGCAGATGAACGCAACAACTAATGACACACAAAACTGTATGACTGGACCCTGTTTTTCTGCGTGGCATATGCTCAGAGAATGCTGTGAGCTCACTCTAGAGCCTGGCGTGGCATTGTTTATTGACGTTTTCTACGACTGATGGTCATGGGCGCCCGGAGTTGCATTTTACAATGGATGTTAGTTGTAGATTGGAATAATTCTCGAACATAGTTGATTTCTTTTCTTCTTCTTCCTGAGATATGGAGCTTCTATCAAAAGGCCGGATATAAGTCGCCTATGGTGAATCACAAGATCCGTTCACATTAAAGGTTATGGTTATCTTATTATGAGAACTTCTCGTTTATTTATACTCATGTATCTCGACTAAAGAAGCCTTCTCTAGGCTTTCATCATTGGATATCAGCTCATGTCGACCCCATTTCTTCATATGCCATTGTCGCAGTCTGTTCCATTCCCAAATATATATACACTATTTGCCCTGATAATGCCGTTCCTCGGCTCAGAGGCCATAAGCCTTCTTGGCAGTACCGCCAAAGATCATTGCGCGCTCTTCATCACTCAGTGTAGCCATCCAACACATGCGTTCAACGATGCTGCGCCATCTAGGCCAGGCATTCTCGGTGTTGACAGTGCAGACAGGCCAATCGCTCCCAAACATGATACGGCTGGGGCCAAAGGTGGCGAGGACGATACCGAGCCAACCCAGGGTAGCCTCGAAGATATGGTTGGGGTCCTGGTTTCGTAGGGAGTCGGGCATCTCGGAGAAGCCACCGGAGAGCTTCATATAGACTTGAGAGTCTTTGCTGAGGGTGTAGACGGCAGTGCGCCAGGCGTGGAAGCTGGGGTCTGATGTAAGGTTGTAGATGCTGAAGTCGGGTTTGCAGAGGTGGTCTGAAGAGACGTTATTGGAATGAAGTAGGGGAAGGAAAAGGGCTGCAACGAACTTAACACTAGGGTGACCTTCTCCTCCTCGGGAACACCATCGTGAACACGGTCAACGAACTCGATCACCTCATCGAGCTGCTTCTTTCCACGTCGATGCTGATCAATACCAACATCGAAGGCGAATCCTCGTCGACCAAGAAGCTTGACGCCCTCGATGAATTTATCGTCCAGCATGGTGCCATGAGGCTTGTCCTGTAGCAAGTAGCGAAACCCCTTGATCTTAGGCCAAGCATCACCGGCCTCCTCTCTTACTCGGTCAAGGTAGCGCTCTAGAACCTTAGGACCGCTGGGCAGTGGCGCCCAGGGCACGATACCCAGGCACAACTTTGCGTCCTCGGGAGTGTGGCCCTCACCTTCGCGCGGTTGACCAAGCGCAACACGCTTGAGCCATGAGACCTCAGCTAGAGGCTGCTCCCAGCCAGTGCCATCGGCTGCGCCAGCTTCAATATCGTTCTTGCGGTCTGTTTCGACAAAGACGAAGCCTAGGAGGGACGGTGCCGAAGAGGTAGCTTCGCGGTATTCTTCAAGAGAACGTTGGCCGGCAAGAGGACCATCGGGGGTGTACCAAGCGAGGGAGTCGGTTTCGGACGCTGGGTAGAGGTGAATATGGGAGTCAATGATGGGGAGTATGATTTGCTTGTCGGACATATTTGCAGTTGGGTGATGCTAGACTTGAAATTGGACCGGTGTTAACTGAAGCTCGGCGAATGAACGAAGGAGTGGGGTGGAGTGTGATTGAGGAAGAAACTGACACGCAATCAATTGAACTTGAGACTAATCACTAGTGACCTCAGGCCTGGTATTACATTAACCAGAGAAATCAATATAATGTTGTATGTAGAAAAGACGTTACAAGTACGGTGAAAATGAGTTTGTGATACTAGGTACAGCTGGGCGATGCATGGATGTCCAATCGATGATAGGGAGTTACCCCGCCATAGGATTGGATCCCCGCCTCCGGAAGGTTTCCTTATAAGATACTTACCTCAGGTAGTATTGTATACAACGCCCTAGACAAGGTACTGAGATAGGTTGGTTGGAGAAAGAATATGGTGGGGAGTAACATTGAACCGAAAGACCGAAATCGATAGCTGTAACTTCACCAAGATGATATATGCGTCACGTTACTCTATTGCTTAGCGGAGGTTTTATCTCGTTTCATGAATAGATTCAATCGTCATCTATCCTAGACAGCTAAGCTATTTCATTCATCAAATCGTTGCTCATGACTGTCCTTCATCATCCACCTCATACTTCGTAATGGCTAGTCTAGACCTTCATCAATCGCCAGGCCTTGAACCACATCCAGAGATTGTCTGCAAGAGACGGGATCCCATCATCAGGACAGATGAGATTCTCATGCGTTGACATTGTTGCTTCTGGGGCAGCCTCTTTCGAGACCTCCCAGCTCACTCAAGAACCAACAGAGTGAGGAAGAAGAAATACGCCTGCGCAGCCACAAGAGGACTGCGCCGAACGGCCGCAGCATCGACCTAGCTGACGATCAACGCATCGGCGCGGTGGAACGAACGAGACCAGCTCGGCGTACCACCCACGTCTGATAACGTGACGCAGGTCGGGACAGGAAAATGATTGTTGATATTACCACAACAACATAGGTCGAGTCATCCCGGCGCTAGTGTGCTGCCAGGGGATGCCCGATTTAAAGAATGAACGGCTAGAGGTTCTCTCAACCTGTTGCCACAGAGCCCTCCATGCACTGGCTCGTTTATGCGACCACGCCGTGGCGGCGAGAGCTGGTGCGCGAGACGGAGGCTTCATACTCGTACTCATCTTCACTGCCACTAGAGCAGATGGAATCACTATCGTCATCGTAGCCACAGCGAGATCCGCCGCAGTCGAGCTTGACACGCTCGCCCTTGCGAGTGATACCATAACGCTCGCAAGTGCAAGAGCTGACGTCGGATCCGGGAGTGCTGTAGCCAGAGAGGGACGAGTTGGGTGAGGAGCTGTCGGAGCGGTAGGACAGAGAAGAACCACTGGAGGAGATTGGCGATGTGCTGAAGTCAGTGATGAACTCGTCCTCGATGTTGGCGCTGCCGAAGCGGTCGGCAAGCTCCTCAAGTTCCTCGTTGTCGTAGTAGGAAGCATCCAAGATGTGCTTGGTCGCATGGGGAGACATGGGCTTGGGGGCCTGAATCTGGGAGATTGACAGGGGGCGGCCCTTGGGGATGTCAACTGAGAGCTTAGAGCTGTGGCGTGAGGATCGCGAGGATCGCGACTCCTTGTCCTTGGAGGAGTGAGAAGAGCTCTTGCTGCTGGAGGAAGACTTGTGCGACGATGACTTGGAGGAGGACTTGGAAGAGGAAGACGACTTTGAGGAGGACTTGGAAGATGAAGAGCGATGGGAGGAAGACTTGTGAGAGTCGGTGGGAACGTCGAGAACGTTCAGCTCACGGCCAGTGGTGGGCTCGATGGTTGAGGTGACGCTGGGGTTGTGGGCAACATGGTAACCATCGATGATGTAGTAGTACCAGTATCTTTGGCCAGCCTCGAGAGTTGAGTTCTGGAATCGAAAGGTGCCCTTCCAGGAGCCGGACTTGGAGGAAGACTTATCCTTGGAGAGAGGGAGCTGACCGACGTAACCGTCCCAAGAGCCGAGAAGATGGACAGTCTTGACGCCAGAGGAGACGCGGAGAGAGAAAGAAAGTTGAACAGCCGACATTTTGCTTTGATTTAATTCAATTATGTGCTTGAGTTGTTTGGCGAGTCGATGATGCGAAAAATGAAAAGTTGATCAGTGCAATATTGGTTTGATAGTTGGCGCGAGCAAGTGAAATCCGTGATTTCTGTAATTAGACGATTATAACAGGGGCGATGAGCGAAAACAAACAGAATAGTCGTTAAAAAGTTGATGTCTCTAAGCTGGCCGGCAACTTATTGAGTAAGCTTTGGAGTTGATGGATATCTTTGATTAGAGACAACGAAAATTAGAATGATAGTAGTAGAGACCGGCTCCACGGTGAACAAACGAAAACACAAAGGGGGAAGGGTAGGAGACCCAAGAACAAAAACAGGATTTACGATTGAAAAGGACTTGCTGAAGAAGAAGAGGAAAAAAAAGAAGAAGAGAGGCTTTGGAGGCGGGTGTTGGTCCTGTTTATAAGGAACGGCCGTGTATAGCGGCCACAGCCATTTTGCATGGATCCAATATTCATCACCATGTGGATTGATAATTGTGATGGACGTCAATAACATCTGTTGCCTTGAGAATTACGAATTACACATACACACACACACAAATGCACAAGAAACAAGGACTCTTCAATTACAAAAGCAACCAATCATGAACTGCAGACAAGGAAATGCCGAGTTCATGTCATTGTCTATCACTCGGCCCGTCACAATTGAACCGTTCCCTCTTCCCTCCCGGGACAAGCGTGGGCGGTTAAGCAAAGTGTGGATCAAGAAAGTGCGTGCATCAATAGTGGAGCCCAACCCATGCTCAATGCTGCGATATTTAGAAGCAGCCCCAGAAGGCAGACAGCCCGTCCAGAGCGGGGAGAAACACTGCGCCAATCAGAAGCCCGTTACCGCTAAACAGACCCAAAGAGCGACCCCCGTAGAGCGTCTATTCCAACGTTGTCATTGGCTTGTGGCACCGCTAGATTCAACCTCTCGTCACGCTGCAGCCCAGCCAATCACCAGCAGTCGTCAACCACATCTCACCTCAACCACTTGCATTTCAGCCATGCAAGGACGCAACAGCAGTGTCATTTCTTGCACGGTCTGGACACCAGATTTGTCGACTCTCGTGGCCTCAGCAGCACATTGAAATCTATGGATCATGCAAGGTCTAAGCTCATCGCACATCGCATCGCCTTGCCTCGCATCTGCCGTGATGTTCTGCCTCTGGCTTGCACTGCACTGCTTTGACACCTCTGGCCGTTATTGGGCCGCTCTCTAGTCGGGCGAACTGTAGTGCAACCCTCGAGTTCATGCGGCCGACTTGAAGGATTGGACGAGTCAGGAATTGACTCACAAGACGGATTGCTCTCAGCATCACAACGGAACTGTATGCTCCGCTGTTGTCGTATTGGCGGTAGTATATACGCTATATCACACTTCAAATGCAAGTCGACAATGATATTGTGGACTTGCCGCGTCTGCGCTACGCTTATAACGTACATAGCCCAGAGGAGGGACATTCGAATTGGCGGTGGCCTTCACATACAAGGTACATACATATCGAGGCCTCGTCTTTCTGTATCCCCGTATACAGCCACCTCCGTTCACATCCCTGAAGGGCTCCTCATTTCTATGCAGACAGAAATCTCTGATAAAAAGTCACGGCCATCATTGAGGTATATGATCTTGACTCACAGACAAAATCTACCAAACCAGGTGCCCATTCGATATGGAGTAAGCATAATAGGTCTAAGCATACCATCTCCATCTTCCCCTCTACGGCCCGTCCGCGTGTGCCCGATAAATTCTACCTTCCCGGGTCTAGCATCGGTAGCATCGGTCCTCTCTTATCCATCTCTATGCATGATATGTCTTTTAGCTTGGGCGGGTATGTGAGGTCCGTCACACTTCCACGAAGGCGCCCATCACCGCTCTACTTACCAGTCTAGGAGGTGGCAGAAAACCAAGGACTGAAGTCGTAAACGACAAAAAGATTTAGACTCTATTTGGATAATTTATGGTGAAGTTAGCAGGCTCTTTGGCCAATTTATTTTCTCACCCTGATGTAAGGTCTTGAGTCTTCTGACACCCCGGAGGCCAGGGTAACCAGGTCGTTCCCTGTGATGGCTGCCTGTTGAAGGAGGGGGACTTCATGAGTTTGCGGGATTCAGAGGAAAGGATCTCTGTTGCGGAACTTGGGTTAGAGCGTGACCCTTTCTCTGCATGATTGAGGAGTGAGGCTGAACTTTTGTCGCTCTAATTGATACTGTATTGACAGTATGGCACACGACTTTCCCACAGAGTGTGCTAATCACTTGACAAAAGGTTACACTCGGAATGGTCTTGCATACCGCGAACTTTTTCTCTCAGATGACATTTTTTGGCGCCGTATCGATATGTTTTTGTCTCGAGGTGCATGAAGAATGATAGCCCACTATCGACATGCTGCATGGCATAGATGCCTCTAGAATAATCATAGCAGTCTACATGTGACGAGGAATGATGGAATTCGACAACTTATTGGATTGTCTATTATTGGACATTTGGATCATGTTTCAGCTCCGTCAATGCCTATACTGCGGGAAAAGTTGATCATTACGCACTTATGCACAGCTGCCTACCCAGCTACCTTAAGGTACGGTAAAATGTGGTCAAAGGGCTTTAACTCAAGTTACACAACTTGGTATTCCTGTTCAATCAGTTTTCCCAAAAGAAATAGAAGAATGCATGTAGATACTAGCAATCAGATAAGAGACCTTAGTTGAGGATCGCGAGATTTGTTCAAGACCTTGTCGAATGCTTTGTCAAACAGAAACAGATTACTTATCATTTCTGCCTATGTATATCAGAGACTTCTCAATGCAATACTAAGTCTCCTTGGAAGTCCGGTTGTCTGTCACGTGGGGACCCGTCGCGTTTCTGGATCATCCTTCATTTGACGCGTTGATCCATCGCGGCCGACATCCTCTGGACAAGCGTCGTACAGTCGACCCAAGGCATCTATTTGAACTTCCCTCTTATAGATTACATTATATATCCTTGCAGTGTACACTCAAATCAGAGCGTTGGATTGTAAAAGCTGGTTGGAGTCCCATATCGTGCCCGGGCTCAGTTTCCATGGCATAGAATCTTAGTGTCTTCATTTCGATCCTCTCACCGTTACTTGCTTCAGTCATCCTCGGGGCAATCTCACCTTGTCGTGAGATATCTCCTGACAAATACGTTTCCTCTATTGCACCGCCAAACTCGCCGTCCTTTTTTCAACATAGCCATCTCAGGTCGCAGACTTCTTCACACGATGACTATGGAAGACTTTCCAGTTGATGGCGCGCTTGTTGGCAAAGTAACAAATTACGTTGAGGAATATATGTCCAATTATGACGCATCGCACGACTTCAACCACATCAAGCGTGTCCTTCGTCTCTCGCAGCATATCCAATCTCATACCCCTTCAACACGCCGAAATTTGGTCACGCTGGCCGCGCTGCTCCACGACGTTGGCGACAAGAAATACCTCCGCCCTGGCGAGGACCCTTCTCGCATGGTAGCATCCGTGCTCATGTCCTTCGGCGCACCGCAGACCCTTGCCGACACCGTCCAGGCCATCTGCCTCGGCGTCAGCTACTCCTCCGAAGTCAAGGACCCGGCACGGACGCGGGCTCTTGTGGACAAGTATCCGGAGCTGGCCGTTGTTCAGGATGCCGACCGGTTAGATGCCATTGGCGCGGTGGGAATTGCGAGGACGTTCGCATTTGGAGGTGCCAAGAGCCGGACGTTGGAGAACACTATGGAGCATTTTGATGACAAGCTTCTATTGCTCGAGGGCATGATGAAAACAGATGAGGGGAGGAGGATGGCTAGGGAGAGGACGGAGAGGCTACGTTTAATGAAGGCATGGTGGCAAGAAGAGACTAGCGAGTAAAGTGGTCTTCGAATAATTGATGAATCTAACCCAAAGCCAAGAAATGGAAAGCTAATTCCATCAATTTCTTATGATAACAAAACTTTCATCTACTGGTACTACTATCTACCTAGACTCGAGTCGAGCACAGTTAACAATGGCGTCTTACACTTCTAGTAACGGTAGGCTAAAAGCACAGTCAGTCTGGTCGACTTACGGCCCCCACAAGTCTTACGAGAACCCTTACGGGAACCCTTACGAGTGCCTCTACGAACCAATTGGCTCTCTTGTACCTGACCGAATTGGTGGATCTACGTTGACTTTGTTGGCTGTCTCACATGAGAACCTGTACGGATTGGGAGTTTGTAGGACGGGCAAGACATCAGCTCGGAAGATTATTCGCAAATAGGGAGGTACCTAGAGTAAGATATAAACAATCATCATCATAAAGGTCGCCGCTTATATTTCTCCTTAACCTCGTCTTTACTCACTCCGCGTATTTGACGACACAGCATTGAACCTCTTACGATGGCTCCCTCGCGATCTGTTACAATGGAAACGCTCCCCACAGAAATCATTATCCAGATCCTCGACAACCTCCAAGCCCCAGCTATTAAGCAAGTCCGTCTTACATCCCGGATCTTCAACACAATACTTGCAAAGCGAACCTTCGAAGTCCTTGTCTCATTTCTCGATCCAGTCGTTGCTCAAGACACTCTTATAACGATCGCGCGAGATCCAAAACGACGCCGTCGACGACCGTCTATCTGGTCACCAAGATGCAGCGTGCCACAGAACCTACCCGTTGATGAATCATTTCTAATGGCACTGTGGGCTGGCTTGCGCGGACAGTCATGGGCTGTAGAAATGGGTGTAAATGGGGTCAAGTTGGATGTAGATAAATGGCAGATCGGAGTGGGGAGAAGCATAAGCAAAGAGGAGTTGAGGGGGGTTCTGTTTCGTTATGCACTTTATTTGAGTTATACGAGCGAGTGTGAAAACGAACAGGACGCACCGCAGGCTTGGGTATTCAGTACGATGTGCAGCAAAGCATAGCACTGAGGCTGTTTATGCTATGGGTTTCATTTTTACCGAATATATGGACATTGGACCAAAGGGCGAGATAGTATTTCCTTGTCTTCAAGTCCAATAATTATTTTGCGTTTCAGAAAATTGATGTTATATAAGTCTTACACTAGTGCAACAAATCGAGGACAAATATGCGTTGTAGCAACCGTCTATATTTAAAAGGCACCCTTTTAGGTATAATGTGAATCAAAGTCTAGTCTAAATGAATGGTCGCTAGTATTAAATGTAGAAATTAGTATATAAGTCGTGTGCATATGCTTTCAGATCTCATATAATGCATCTCCAATCCCGTCATCGCTAGGCCCAATCCATTGGTGTCCATAGCGGCAATAACCCCTGTTTGTAAACGCCGTTCGCTTTCGCAAACAAAATCAAATCATGCCCAAATGCCATGCTTTCATGCATCATGTAAGGATCGTAAGAATTTTGGAAAAAGTGTTGTAGTCAGCGGACCGGAAAGTGTCCATCTTAGATCAGGTAGGCGGCGGCGAAGCCAACGATGGCGAGGAGGCCAGTGACGGCGTTCATGGGAGCCCCAGCAGTTTGGACAGTCTCAGGAACATCAGAGGATGTGGAAGGCAGGTGATCCTCGGACTCGGAGCCACCGTTGCTTCCCTTGCTGCCGCTGCCGCTGCTGCTGCCGCCGTGGGAACCGTTGTCAGTGCCATCATCGTTGCCGCTCTCCTCACCCTGAGGAGACTTTCCACCATGGTTACCAGGATAGCCGGGGGTGGTTCCATTATGGTAGACTGGAGCACCTCCAGTAGGAACAGGGTGGTAGGTGTGAGGAGGAGGGTTGACAGCAGTAGCGTTGTGGCCGTGGTCGTTGGGGACGGTGTAAGTGATAGTCTTGGTCACGCTCTGGCCAGGGTTGGTAGGATGAGGGTAGGCGTAGGTCTGAGTCTTGGTGATAACATCCTGACCGGGGTGAGTAGGTACAGGCTCATGAGGCTTGGGCTCAGTAGGGTTGGGGTAAACAGGCTCATGAGGCTTGCTGGGCTCAGTAGGGACCTCAGTGACAGGGCAGACAGTTGTGGAAATGGCGATGGTCTCGGTAGTAACATGACCCACAGGGCAGTCGACAACAGTAGGGGGGCACTGAGTGATAGTATAGGTCTTGGTGCTGTAGACCGTGCTGGTAGTGTACTCAGTAGGCTTGGTAACGTTGGCGGGATGGGTGTAGACAGTAGTGAAGCCGACGGTAGGCTAAGTCATGTAAGTCAGTATAAATTTGACAGATGGATAGTAATCCTTAGCAACTTACGTTCTCGTAGTGAGCGTTGGCAACAGCAGCCGCAGCAGCGACGATGATTCCTGAAGACCTCATGATGGTGGTTGGTGTTTAGTGGTTGTGCTTGTTTAAACGAATGTACTTTGTCAAGGAATCTAGATCCTAGATCGACAGAGCTAATCTTTGAACGAAAGACGACGGTGTATAATATGATGAGAGAAGGGGCTGGAGGCGAGGCAGAGCATTTCTTATATCTCATCGACCTGGTGGCCTAATTTGTTGGGTAGGTAAGCGAGATAGAGCGGAGCCGACTAAAGTCTTCGTCAATTCGATTCTATTCCAAGCCAATGACGGGACTAGCTCTTGTGAGCAGGGCTGATGATAAGCCCATGGCGAAGTGGCTGTTGGAAATGGCGATATGGATACGAGGTGTGGGTTGTCCGGTGCCAAGACCCTGGATCTCCGTATTGCTGACAGCTGTTAACCACCATTCACGGCACTCCCCCCATGTCCCAAAGAGGAAGACAGACCCAAAAGAGCCATGCTGCTTCCTTGGCTCTCGTTATCGTCAACCAGCAGCGGGCCATGCCATGTCCACAGCTGCACCTAGCAAAGTCTAGAGCAAATCTCTGCATACAGGACCCACGGTGATAGCTGTTAGGCTCACCAAGCTTACAATTTCAAAATTTGTCTTGACCTGACCGTCAACAGTGGTCCAAAGACTTGGCAATGCACCTCTGTTAGGGAATTTCGTAATGCGACCGGAGGGTCCAGGATAGAGTGGCACAATCAGAACCCTACGCGCATGTGTGGCTATGTCAGTATGTAACGATTCGATCTCGTGGAAAAGCTTAAACATCCAGTTGGAAATGGCGGACGTAACGTCAGGTCAATCAGATGTGTAAGGCTGCCATCAAGAATTGACAAGGGCTATTCTTGGAAAATGGCGTTCTTTGCCCAAGCTAGCGGTCCGCCACATGCCCTGTGCCCAGCGCCGGGGTTGCCGGGCCACGAGCGTGGAGCCCACCCATCTGAGCTGAGCCTCAGAGCAGGTCCCCGGATTGCTGATTGCTGGTAGAAACAACCGAAATAGCTGGAATGTTTCAACGGCCTCCAGTGTCCGATGACTTCATCGTGAATAAACCTCCGAATCTCGTGCTCTGAACCCAAATTTGGATTCTCGGATCCTCCAAATAGATCTCCATGGGTGACCTATAATCGGGTGATAAAGTGCTGCAGTCTGGAGATGGATCGGGTCTTGTCATCATTCATCCATGCAAATCAAGAACACGACCAATTGCTGAGTGATTGTGACTCAGTGGGCAAGTGACCATTACCAATAGCCCTCTTTGCCCTTCCTTTTACAAGGTGCGGCCGTCTGTTCCATCTCCATTCGTACATCAATTCGATATCAGCTTGCTGACTCGTATCGATCACACCCTTTCTCGCCCTTGCAGTATCTTTAGAAAGAAAAAACAGGCGACCGTCACTGGCTCGGGAACTCTCAGTGACAGGGGTGCGTAATCTGCTAGCAAAAACTTTCTCGGAGTAACGTTGCCAAGGTTGCTCAAACTTTACCAGCTCTAGGTTACCCGTCGGGACCTAGGGTTTTGTGGCTTGCCCTTAGCATCATAGCCACAGCCTCATCGGCACTCAGCCTCAGGTTCTAGCGTCAGGCTCCATCTACCAGTAAGCTTTAGGGAACTGGACCTGGACCTGGCGACGTTGATAAATATAACGTGCAAGTCTCCGTTCGGATTCGCAACAGGGCCTCCGGCTCTATTGTGGGAATCGGTCCATAGAGAAATCCGTGATGAAGAGCAAGTTTGACTTCACCACCAGCTCGCAGACGCCACATAACGTGAGCTGTTCGTCTAGCCTTTATTCAGGTGACATCGGCGAGTCAACATACTGCGGGTATGGCCAGGACAGAACTAGACAACAAGGCACGATGCCCAAGATGAGGGAATTAACAAGGCTGGCCATACGAATCCGACAGCGGCTCGTATCTTTGTCGCCATCAGCACACCTTATCCCCGCACGCAATTGCTGCAAGATCAGGCTGAATGACCACTCACCTCGATTCTGACGATAATCGGCCCATTGTGTGCAAGAACAGCTATCAAACACGCAGGTGGCCCTTCTGGATCTCAAGATCTCGTGGGAGCGAATTCCTGGCCAGAGTCCTTCGTTGCGGGGATTTGCTGTCGAGGTTGGCGAGGTGGAAAAGCTCTGCATGGCCATCCTGCTTGCACTCTAAGCTTATCGAGCTGCCCTGTCGATTTGGCCCAAGCTGCACCGGTGAGTGGGGGTTTATCAACCCGAACAACCCTTTCGGCGTACTGCTATGGCGCTCGAGCCTTCCAAATAGTGGATGATTTGGGAGCTGGAGCAAGGATGCTATAGTTTGGTTCAGGTGTTGATCTGTGGTGCTGCACGAAGAAATTTGTGTCGTTGCTCTACGGCGAGATGAGGTTTGTGACAACAACGATGGGTTTTTCTCATCCTCGCGCGTGACTTGTTAGTAAGTATGAGCATATCATTCCTTGTCCTAAACTATGTGGTTTTGTATGACTGTTCACATGGATGCTGGGGTGAGGCTGATAGATGGTCTTCTAGTACCTAAATACAATAAACTGGAGGCAGTTCTCGTTATTTCTCTAGTTACACTGAGTTGTATGTCTCACGCTTCACGGTGCGGTGTTGTTTACCTTTTTTTCTTCTTTTTTTTTCCCTTGCTTAGTTCATTGCTCATATAAAATACGACGATTTCCATCTGCTTGATTTTATCAGCGCCCGCGTCATCCTGGAACATTTCTGGGCTTGGTGAATATTCCAGTAAAAAGATTGCCCAACTACAAGGGCCTGAAACCACACGCAAGCTTGACTATCATCGAATATTCACACCTGTTTGGGGATCTTAAGTTGTAGTGCTGAGTTTACGTTTCGATATATCAAGTATAGGTTGGTAGGAATTTGGGAATGGCTACAGGGTAGTCCAATCGCTTGCCAGGATGATAAAAATGAAGTACTGCTTGAGTAATAATAATAATTATGAGTTGAACGCCTAGTATATACTTGAAATAGTACATTATTCAACCTCTGGGGTAGCCAACCTTTCCTTACACCTTTTAGTAAATCTATATGTTTCATATACTGAAGATTCACAGGCACAGATAATTCCATTACAAACTTCACCTAGTATGTGTAACTCTGTAGATACTAGCTGTCATGACAAGCTAGGTAGGTAGGTAAGGTAGCTAGCTGTTCATAGGCGTGAAACGACCACTTTATATCATACTGTATTTGGGCATATTCAGATGTACCGCACCATACATACAGTACCGGAATTTTTCACCCTATAGGTAGTAACGTTGTGTTCTTATCGTATCAGGAACAAAGCTCTATGTCTGTATATCACCATTGTGATATTCCAGGAAAGCGCTTCCCTTATAGTAGACATCCACCCAAGGCCATGGGGGGTTTTGATCATGATAAACACCACTTACGAGACGCAGTGACAGGAACTCAAAAATAGTCAGGCACTGAGAGTTTTCATGATATCATATCCATTAAAAACATTTGCACAATGAGCGAATCAATCAGCTACGCTGACGTCCACTTGCAGGGCTGAATCTGAGACGTGTGAGGCCGCTGCACACTTGTCTTAGAACCTGTCACAACTGTTTGTTGGGGTCTGCACCCCTGAGGAGTGCATTGTGTATGTCTGGGCTCTGTCAATAAAATCGTACCCTGATCACGGCGGTTGACTGAGCATCAGTTATTCATTCAAGTTCATGCGTAGAATCGAGTGTAGGCTCAGACATTCGGCAATTTACCCATGTAAGAGTCAATGAATATCAGCCGATTTACCTGCCTCTCTTATTAGTCCCTGATAAGACGCGAG